AAGGTCCCAGGTTCCATGGACAACAGCGGGATGGGAGCATGAGTGTGTGTGCGGGGGGAGGTTGAGGGTTAATGGGGGGGGGGATAAGGAAACATTTGTAACACCTTAACTAATAATAAAAAAAAAAAGTGTCTGTGGGGACACAGAAATGGGAAAGATCAACTGACCTGGTAGCCTTTCCAGAGAAGAAACATTTGAGTTGAGCATTAAAACATTTGAGTTGAGCTTTGAAACATTCATGAGATTCTACTAGGCAGCAAAAGAGAAAGGGCTTTGCAAAAAGAGGGAACAATGACAAAGGCACCAGCATATAAAAAGAGCTGGGCATGCTGGGGAACCGGAAGCAACTATACAGTACTATGGTAGAAAGTGGAGAGAGGACAGTGGAAAATAAACCTAACAGGCACATCCATAACATTTTTAGGTATAAATGGTACAATATGGAACAAATACCATATGTTTAAATATTTAAAAGTTAAAATCATGCTAACAAATTGTATGAAATTTGTTCTCCCTACATACTGTCATATTCAAAAGATGGTGAATGAGAGTCTGTATAGTGTAGGTAAATATGGTAAATTTACTTTCACATAGGCCTTTATTTACACTTAACAGTCTAAATATTATTATATCTTAATGGGAGATTTGCCAAGTCATACAGTTCTAACGCAAAAGTTCATCAACTTTATGACTAAGAAAATTACATAAATCTCCTCAGATCACAATGATTAAGAGTCACCTACCAGGTTCTACAGCTATTTGTTTTTTTTGTTGGTGGTAGTTTGTTTTTCAAGTAATTCCAGTAATCACTGCATATCTGGCATGAATAATTGGATACAGATATGAAATACTGAAAAGTTTGTGAAACTGTTTATTAAATGTAAAAATAAAAACTGCTCTTGAGTGAGGTTAGCCCCACTAGAATTTTATAGAGTCTTGCAAGATATCTAAACAAATTATATACCATGAAAATCCAATTATTTCATTTTTTATAACAAAGTCTAACAATATCATAGTTTCTTTAATTCATAATTTTTATCATGTCACATCTCTGCTGAAAATAAGCAAGCTTCCCCTTTCCATATGATAAAATTCAAACTCCTCACTAAATGTCCATCTTATCTACCTCCTGTCCCTCCTTGTACTACTTTCATAGCACAAAATTAGGTATCCGTCTTTCAAGCCTGAATTTCAGTCATACCTTCTTACCTTATTCCTGGGTCTAAATTCATCTCTCTCCCTTCTTTGAATATTATCTGAATCACACATTTTAGCATTTAAATATACAACATATGGGGGTGATATGTACATACAGTAGATTAGAATTTAGAAAGTTGTATGTACAAAAAGTATAAAAGAACTAAATTGCAGAGAGAAACACTTCCTGTTTCAGGCAGAGGGACTGTGCTGAGGTAAGGCGAAGCCACCAGAGCTTTTTGCACACCTCCTACAGGAGATGTGCCAGCAACCAAGGTACTTGCCCTTGACTGGAATCGAACCTGGGACCCTTCAGTCCACAGGCCGACACTCTATCCACTGAGCCAAACCGGTTAGGGCAACCACCAAAGCTTTTAACAGCCAGACAGGGTGGTATGATCATTGGGAATATGTAGGAGCACAAATACAGAGGTCATTCTCCAGAAAAACATCTTTCAGGCAGCAGGGAAAGCATTAAAAAATCGTATTTAATACAGCTCATTTAAAGAAAGTTGGTTAGAGATTAAGTTTCTGAAAAGAGGCAATCAATTAATATTTCACTCTCACATAGATGTTTCTCAATGTCTATGTTTCTCTTTTTCTCTCTCCCATCTTCTCTCTCTAAAATCAATTAAAAACATTATATCCTTGGGTGAGGATTTTTTTTTAAAAAAAGGTAGTATACGTCACACATACTTAAATACATAGATTCTGAAACTGGATGGCATGAGTTCAAATCCTAAATTGCCCCTTCCTGAAAGTGTGATTGAGGGCAAATTAATTATCTTATTTTCCTAAGCTTCCCGAAGAATGGTCTTTTTCTAAAACCTTTGCTGATTCCCTCCATCATATAAAATCTATCCCTCAACTTTTGGCTCCTTAGCACTGTATTTGTAACTCCCTTATAGAACTTTTCTTACTTTACCTTGTATTTCACTCTTTTTTAGTCTAATGTAATTCATGCAATGAATCTGCAGGTTCTTGGGAGGCAGTGTTTGTGTTTTACTCATTTCTATTCTTCAAAGAGCAAAGCACTGGACCTGGCACATAAATAGAAGCACTTGTATATTTTTTCATATGAATTAAAAGGGATAAGGAAAAACAAGGATAAACATCACCTGAGGGTCCCACTATGTACCAGGCACTATGTAAGTGCTTCCACGCACGTTATTTCATTTAATCTCCACAACATCCCACCAAGATAGGTATTACTGTCTATGTTTTACAGTTGAGGGAATTCAGGTTGAAAGAATTTAAACTCGGAAAAAATAATCTCTTCCTCCAAGATGTTTATAATCTAGTAGGAAGTTGTAGTGTGTGTATTAGTGATAATAAATGTACTACAAGTAGTATGTAACAAGTGGTTCAAATGAGTTCAAAAGAAGGAAAGATTAATTCTAACATGGAGATTTGAGAAGATTATTATGAGTTAGCCACACCTCAACTGGACTGGCAAGAGGAGGACACTGTCAAAGAAATTATAGTTTCACTTCCTTCTCTAGCCTTTTCCAGGCAGGCTCAGGCTCCTCATTCCCCAATTAAATGCTGAAAGACTGTATTTAAAGTTTTACAAAAGAAACCAATGAAAACGTAGGATAAAACAGGAAAATTTTTACAATAAGCTTTTTATTCATAATACATAATGTTTAATGATGATTGATAACATTTAGTGAGTGCTTATTAGGTGCCAGGAGTCTTGTAAGAAGTGCTTTTCATAGATTATTTCATTTAAACATCCACAATTATTCCAGTATCACAAAGGAAAAACTAGACCTAAAAAGATCTGCAAACTCTTAGCAAGAATCACATAACTCTTAAATGATCAAAGCAAGGGCCAGGTTTCCATTCATCTGACTCCAAAGCCAGTTACATTTCTATTTTAATCTAAGAACAATCAAAAAAAATTTTTTAATTGTAGCATATTTTCCCAAGTTATTCAAGGACTTAAAACTTTCAATGCTATTTGAAAAATGACATACACAGTAGTCATCACAGACGGTAACAAAAACAAAAACAAAAATATTTTCCCTTGCATCACAGCTGTCCCTGAACACTGTGTTTTTACTACTTCCATCTGGAAGAATTTAAACCATACAATTTACTGCCACACTGACTCCATTTCTTTTATTCATTTTATTATTTTGTTTTGTTTTTTAAATGGGCCTTTTTCATCTGCTCTTTCCTGTGCTTTCATTTTAATTCTTCTTTCTTCCATAGAGTGCTTTCTGTAAACAGATCGAGGAGGAAGTGGAGGAGGATTGGCCACTGCAATGAGGATGATGATTACATAAAAAATCTAAAAGAACTGCTCAATTCAATGAGTATTTAACAGCTTAGTAATCTTAGAGAGTATAACTAAAGTGTTCAACATAATCCCCATTGAGTAAGATAAGGAAGTTCATCAAAATATTTTAGTAGTTTTTTGTATTATATGTATGCAAATATTTTGATCTAGATTTAAATTCCCAAGTTAAGCAGATATATAAATACTCTCCTTACATTTCAAAAAGGCCTATCGTAACATGAGCAAAAATGGTGCTCAATCTAACCGTTATTCTGTTCCTAGTTTTACTTCTCTTGCCTGCAGTGAAAAGTTCAATGGTAAGTTTGAATAATAATGGATATGATGGCATCGTCATTGCAATTAACCCCAGTGTACCAGAAGATGAAAAACTCATTCAAAACATAAAGGTAAGAAAATAAATTTTATTATCCACTTATTTTTATTTCAGTAAGTATTTTCAACTCATGTTAGTTGTCTAGTCACATACACGCACTCACACAGAGTTATAACTTTCCAAAATTGCTTTGACAGTATATATCAATTATAGAATATGTCAAAATTAATATATGCTTAATTTAAATGATTTGTCATATATTAACAATATTAGTCATTACCTAATAAATTATTTTAAAGGCTGAACTACTAATAGTTTTTTCAACTCATTTGACTAAAAGAAAGACCTTAGAGCTAGTGAAAAATTCTTTTCAATTAATCTTTATTAAGCTATTTTTATAATATTTCAATAACTAACTCTTAAGCCTTAGGGGGTAAGTATCTTATACATTTTTCAATTGTTTATACTTTTTCAAATATTAAATACTCAAAACTCTATTGTATTTGATTTTAAAGAAAATATTACTTCTTTTTTAATTTTATTTACTTCCTCATTTTGTTAGTATAGTTTTTTAAATTTTATATATAGCACTTTAATATATACAATCTTCTTTGGTCCTTCCAATATCCCTATGAGATGGTCAAGAATAGATATCCATATACACTTCAATATGGATCTGTATTAAAGTAAAAAATAGAGTTGGTTTTTAAGTGTATGAAAATGAGTTTGCAAACCAGAGAGATATGGTAAAAATTCACCCTATTTTTCAATTAGTCTTTGCCAAAATATTTTGGGAAAGGGAGCTTGGATTTGCTATTTCTTGTACGTATATACACTTTTATGCTCATTTCATTGTGAAATTGTTACCACATGGTATCTTAAATTTTGTCAGGAAATGGTAACTGAAGCTTCTACTTACCTATTTCATGCAACCAAACGAAGAATTTATTTCAGGAATGTAAGCATTTTAATTCCAGTGACCTGGAAGTCAAAATCAGAGTACTTAATGTCAAAACAAGAATCATATGAACAGGTAAGGTATTTTATCTAGCTCCTAAACTGTTTCTTTCTTCTTCCTGTTCTTTTTAAAATTTAATACTAATAATACCTTAGCAATTACTAATCATTACTTTAGTAATTAAATTAATGCTATTACTTCTCTTAATTTGGATGAAGAATTCCTTGTTTATATTGCTACTGAGATCTGCTTTGGTTTGTTTGTTCTGCTTTTTAGGCAGATGTTATAGTTGCTAATCCTTACCTAAAATATGGAGATGACCCCTATACACTTCAATATGGACAATGTGGAGAAAAAGGACAATACATACATTTTACTCCTAACTTTTTATTGACTAATAATTTGCATATCTATGGATCCCCAGGTAAGGATATCCATTTTATACTTCTATTGCTATTTCTACTGGAAACAAATATAACATTATGATTAAAGGTATTTTTAAGAGAGAAAAATACGTATTAATAGCTTTGTTTGGAAATATACTAGTTATTTTCAACCTAATAATATTTCTTTTTCAACATGTGTATAATAAAATTAGTCACTTATTGATACTAACCCATTTTAACTTTTTTGGTTTAATGAAAGTCATCCATTTCTAGAGTTCCTTGACTCAATTAGGTTGGGGATAAAGGGAAGGGAAACTTAAAACATAAGAAGTTGAATTAAAACATTGTAAATATAAATTTGTAAGTGCAAATATTCTCTCATAGGCAGAGTATTTGTCCATGAGTGGGCCCATCTCCGATGGGGAGTATTTGATGAGTACAATGTGGATCAGCCATTTTATATTTCCAGCAAGAACACTATTGAAGCAACAAGGTATTGTTGTATTGAGCAAATCTATTTTTAAAATTTCACCTATGACTTTTTATTTTTATACTAGACAAAGAAAGGCTATCTCCAGTGGCTGAATGTTCATACAGTCAATTTCAATATCCAACCTACCCCACTATGTATAGGTCCAACTACTGGGAATTCCACCTTGGAATCAAGATCTGTCAGGAATTGGGAATAATTTTAATAATCATGGGTTTATCCCAAAATATATTATTGTCAGAGGAGAAAGAAAAATCTGTAGCCTACACCTTAAAATATCTAAGAATTGGAGTTCAAGTTCCTACCCAATCTTTTATTCCATTTGATTCATAACTGTTCAAGATGAATCTGTTCCATTAAAATCAAGTGAACTCCTAGAGCTTCATGTTAAAGATAGATTATTATTCATTTAATCTTGAGATTAAAAAGAAAAAAGGTACTTCTCAAAAGGATAAGTAAGTAAATTTGTTTTGAAGAAATGTAATTCTGGATAGATTTAGACAGGTCCTATTTATAAATAGATGAGATATTTAAATTAAAAATATCAAGAACCTGGAGTATTTAAAGAACATCAAAGAGCAATTAAATCAGTGTAACAGAAAATAAGTCTTTGGGATAAAAAACATATTAGAGGAAAGAACTGTGATTTTTAAAAAAATGTCTCCCCATCTTGTTTGTGTTGTTTGCTTTACCTCTGCTGAGTTGCTTAGAGTCTCATATGGACTGAGCTCTCAACCCAGGACACTCATTCCTCTGACTTCATCCCATACAACTTCTCCCGGCACCACCTGCCTTATGCAAACAACATTGTTCAGTCTTCAAGACTCAGTTTAAATGTGTCATTACTCTCCATTTGGGGTTATATATCCTGGGGAATATTCCCAAAGGAATATGTATGAGCTTCTCTCACACTGGGCAGGAATTTTATTTTCCCCAATTGACTTTAAGATCCTTGAAGGCTGATTTTTTTTTTAATCTCCTGGCTTTGGCCTGGCATAAAATAAGTAAAAGCTAAACAAATAATGTATCAAACAACAAATTTTTAATAAATCAATGAAAAATGAATGAGTTTCTTTATCAGGCATAGAAAGAGACAAGTTATTAAAAAGAAGTAGCTAAAATAACATTTATTGAGCTCCTACTGTGTGCCAGGCACTGTCTGAGGTAGTATAAGTTTAACTTGCAGGCTTACTTTAGAGCTAACCCTCCTGGAAAATATGACTCACCATCTTCTTTAATCCTTGCAATACAAATAAATGTATTAAAGTGGATTAATGATATGAAGTGGGTTTTTTAAAAATATATTTTTATTGATTTCAGAGAGGAAGGGAGAGGGAGAGAGACAGAGAAACATCACTGATGACAAAGAATCATTGATTGGCTGCTTCATGCATACCCCCTACTGGGGATCAAGCCACAATCCTGGCATGTGCCCCAATAGGGAAACAAACCATGACCTCCTGGTTCATAAGTCGATGCTCAACCACTGAGCCACGCTGGCCAGGCAATGTTATGAAGTTTAATATTAACACAGAACGGAAGTAAATTCTGCAGAAACAGGAACTCTTCAGAATATTTTATACATACCACACCCCATTCCCTGCCAGGTGGTTGACAATTATGAAGACCAAATGATTGAATGCACAAGCATTTCCATGCAAGGCTTAATTTTATTTCGTCCTTCAATCTAGCTCAGCATTTTTCAAATTGTAAACTGAAAAATGCTTAAACCACACTTGACTTTGGATGTATGGTATACATGCATATATATATATATGTATATATGTACATGTATGTATATGCATATATATCAGTATATATACATATATTCATACATATATATTTGAATGTGTGTACCATCCATACAAATCTAAGAAGGTTTTAATCATAATGTTGATTCTTTCCTCCCAACTAGGAAGCAACTCCTCTGTATCTCTTAACTAATCTAATCTTCACAACATCCCTCTCAGGAATTATCATCTTTAGCTTAACATAACAAGAAAAATAGATTATTGATCACAATAGTAAGCAATTAATGCTAATAAATATGAACTGACATCATTATTCTTGTTGAAATTGATGGTAAATATGGGTAGGACATTGAGCTTACTTCTGCCAAAATATTTGGTACATGACCTATAGCAATTATTAAGGGAAAAATTGTAGGACATTAGTCTTTATTCATGATTTGTCTGGTCCTCATATGTAAATGTAATCTAATTCTTTCATCATAGATGTTCAACTCAGATTACTGGAATTAATGTGGTTTTCAATAAATGCCAAGGAAGCAGCTGTATAATAAAGCCATGTGAACGTGACTCACAGACAGGGCTGTATGAAGCAAAATGTACATTCATCCCAGAAAAATCCCAGACTGCAAGGGAATCCATAATGTTTATGCAAAGTCTTGATTCCGTAAGTACATTCTCTTTCAAGTATCACAAAAGAATTCTTTGAGAAAAACTAATTGGGAAGCTGGATTTTCTACCATGAAATTATGTACACCAATAGAAACGCGAAAAATTACTCAGTTAACAGCCATTTTCTCCAGCCTGTGTCAGGTGTGTCTGGAAAATATTCCACCCTTGTTAACCTATTTCTTTTCTTCAGTTGTGGAACTGTACCCTTCTCATTGGTGTCACATACTTTCTTATAACATCCCTTCCTTCACTTGATTCTATAGGCTTGTGTCTAAAACTACAACCTTTACTTTTTTTTTTATTGCTTAAAGTATTACAAAGGGTATTACATATGTGTCCATTTTCCCCCCGCCCTAGACAGTCCCCTAACCTCCCCTATACAACCTTTACTTTTAATTATCTCTTCTAAGTGTTAGTCATACTACTTTTCCAAAGTAATTTATTCTGTAGTTTAGAAAGACGAACACTCTAGACTTTCCATTATCTTCATATTAAAGCATGCCAACCTACTGCAAGTGACACTGTGAAAACATATGGCTCTGTCTCTTACAGAACAAACTTTGAAAAGTTCACAATTACATACCTGACCAATTGAAAGTTAACAACACAGTAATTCAAGTTCCAAAGCGAATGTTGACCTTAAATATCTGGTTTAAATGTATAAAGCTCAGTGCAAAAGAAAAGGTGCCTCAGAATCAGATAAATTTGATATAAAAACAGGGTCTGTCATTTTCAAGCTGTATCAAACTGCTAAATCTGAGATTTAGTTATCTCACCTTTTAAATGGCTTCACAGTGTCATTGTTGTTAGGTTTATAAGAGCTAATATAAGTAAAGTATTATCACAGTACTTAACACAAAGTGAGTAAAAAAATAAATTTTTACTTTTT